TGCCTCTTGATCCATGTACAGATTCCTCATGAGCACAATTAAGTGTCCTGGAATACTCATATTTCTCAATGTTTTCCATAGCTTATCATGATCCACACAATCGAAAGCCTTTGTGTATTCATAAAGCACAGGTAAACATCTTTCTGATATTCTCTGCTTTCAGTCAAGATCCATCAGACATCAGCAAGGATATCCCTCGTTCCACGTCCTCTTCTGAATCCGGCTTGAACCTCTGGAAGTTTTCTGTCAAGGTATGCTTGCAGCCGTGTCTGTATTACCTTTAGCAAATCTTTACTCACATGGGATATCAAAGATATTGTCCAATGATTTCCGCATCCCATTGAGTCACCTCTCTTTGGAATGGGCACAAATATTGATCTCTTCCAATCAGTCAGCCAGATAGTTGTCTTCCAAATTTCTTGGCAGATATGAGTGAATGCCAAGAGCCGCCTCACTTTCTTGAAATATTTCATTTTTTATTCCATTTTATTATGGATGTAGTTGCTCAAAATTACAATTTAGATGGAAGCGACTCTTCCCATTAAGAATAAGCCTTCCCCTCATTACACAGGAGTAATGGGGACATTACATAAGAGGGATGAGTATGAGCAGAGATTAGCATCCTAATCAGAAAAGTGTTGACAGCAGAGACAGAAGCAAAGGCAAAGGCATAGAGAGATGAAGCAGCTGAAGATTCTAGACAAATGGAATGAGAAAATCTGTGTGTCTGTGGACAGGAGGCTAACTTGCAAAATGTGACTTTTGTTCATTTAAATGAATTTTCTGTGTGTTTTTTTGTACATCAAAAAAAATGAGGGAAAAGATGTAAATACTATTAATCGATAGTGCATGGAGGGGATTTTAATCATTGCAATGACACAAAGTATGGTTGGTTAAATGGAAACCTGATGCTCTGCATTGTAAACTAACACTCCATTCACAATAAAAGCTTTAAAAAAGGAGAGAGAGAGAGATCAATCAGGATGGAAACGAGTTCAAATCTGATTCTATGGAGTCATGCATTAAAAAAAAAGAAAAAGAAAAAATAGCAGGAAAAAAAAGATGTAAGGAACATAAAGTAGTCACTGTATTGTTGTTGTTGTTGTTAAGTGCCGTTGAGTTGGTTCCGACCCATAGTGACCCTGTACAGGGTTTCCGAGGCTGTAAATCTTTACGGGAACAGAACGCCTCATCTTCTCCCGTGGAACAGCTGGTAGTTTCGAACTGTTGGCCTTAAGGTTCGCAGCCTGATTCGTAACCACTACACTACCAGAGCTCCTTAGTCACTGTATTAAGAAGTGGTAAATGTTCAACCATTTCAGAAAGTACCATATGACCAAGAACTGATGTTATTTAAGGAAGAAGTCTAAGCTCCACTGAAGGCACTGGTGTAAAACAAGGCTCCAGGAATTAATGGAATACAAATAGAAATGTTTCAACAAACTGATGAAGCACTTGAAGTCCTCACTCATCAACACGAAGACATTTGGTACACAGCTACCTGCTGAGATCCATATTTGTGATCATTGCAAAGAAAAATGTTGAAATTATCTAATAATATCATTTATATCACATGCAAGTAAAATTTTGCTAAAGATCAATCTAAAAGAGTTGCAGCAGTACACCATCAGAGAACTGCTAGAAATTGAAACTGATCAGAAGAAGATGTGACACAAGGGATATATGATTGCTAAGAGTCAATGGGTCTTTTTACTACTTGACTCAATAATATAATAATATGTATGTGTTATTTATATATTGTCTTTTGTCCTAACTTGTATGTAAGCAATAAACCACAGAAACTTCATATGTTCTGTTTACTTCCTAGAACAGTGACTGCTTAGAACAGTGGCAGCCATTTCATAGGCAATCAGTATTATTATTATTAACTGCATGAATGAATCTGTGTTCAATCCTTATTTCCATTTTTAACTCATGCATTCAAGCATAATTCTTCTCACTTTTCTGTAACTGAACCAAACAGTGTGGTAGTCAGCTGCACTTCACTGTTGGGTGAGTGAGGTTACAACTAAGATCTGGGACTTTACACTCTATTGAGCCAAAAGGGTGGTATTCAGCTACACTTACTTCTCTGTTGGGTTCAAGAGGTTACAACTAAGACCTGGGATTTTCCACTCTTTTGAGTTGTTGGAACGTGGGTACCAAGTCTTCACAGTCACATTTCCAAGCTGATGCTCATAGAAACATCACATTGGCCACTTATGAGTGCTTTATCCTCATCCACCAGTCTTTTTTGAGACTAGTAATTTACTTTGCTATATTGGACAACCCATTGACACACAGTGATCATTCTGCAGCTTCCACAGGATACCAGGATCCAGGGGAACATTGAGTTTCTAAGACACCACACAGTCATTTCTCTTCTGGAGCCTTGTCACTTACCTTGTGACACTAACCTAGGACTTAGCTCAGATACCCTATTTTCAGATCCCATGAACACATGTGAGTTTCCCAGTGTCTGGATTCTTCTTGGCCCGGGGCTGGGCACAGAGAGGGGAATACATAAAACTTCTTGTTAAAGAACTCATCAGTTCTTCCTCTTTATTTCTTATCCCTACTGTATTTTCCAATCTTTGATTATCCGAGGTACTTTCTCAGAATCTGTGCTTTTGAACATCAAAAAAAAATCAAGAAATTTTCTTTTCTCTAGTCTATGTAAAGCCAATGCCAATTATCACCAAGTTGATTCCAATTCATGGTAAAAACTGCATTCCATAGAGTTTTCAGTGGCTGATTTGAATGGCTGAGTGGATCACCAGGACTTTGTTCCCAGGCACCTCTGGGTGGACTTGAACTGCCAGTCTTTTCAGTTAGCAGATCAACATGTTAACCACTTGCACCACCCAACAATTTCCTGATCTATGCAATTGCATTCTTTTACTGAGCCAGTGAATGCAGACTAGCTTTGCTGGTCAAACACAGGGGGAAAGCCAGTGGATGGAATGATATATGAAAATGAAAAAAAAAAAAGTATTAGCATGCCAGTCCAGCTATTTTAACATCTCAACAAAGCTCTCCAACCTTATCTTAATTGGGAAAATGAAACACCAATTTACATAAGAGCTTTCAAACCCTCCTTCTAATAGACTGCCTAGGTAGTGCCAATCTACTAATATCTGAACACACCAAGGACTATGTCTAGTGGCAGCCACTGCTGTCCATCTTTCATCTACAATTTAACCACCTCTTCTGAGGCATTTCCTAATCTCCCCATTAAAAAGTTCACTAGCCTATCCTTAAAGCCTATCTTAGTTTTCTAGTGCTGCTCTTAACAAAAAATACCACAAACAGGTGCCTTAAAGAACAGAAATTTACTTTCTCACAGTTCAGGAGGCTACAAGGCATAATTCAGGGTCTGGTTCTTTGTGTATTTCAGCTCTTTATAGACAGTGTTTCTTGGAGATCCTGGTCTTCTAGATGCTTCTGCCAAATGTGTCTCTTTTTATGGCGTCTTCCTTCTGCATGCTTCCGTGTCTACTCTGGTATTTTAAAGTCAGAAGGGCATCAGTGTAGGACCCATCCTCACCTGGTATTACTGCATTAACATAACAAAAGAACTCTTATTTCCAAAATATATCATTTTTACAGGTACAGGGGATTTTAATATATACTTTTAGAGACAATATGCAGTTCATATAAGTGCCCCTCACTGTATTCTACTGCATTAATTCAGTTAAATTAGGCAACATGTTGCAGAAAAATCAAAAGAATAGTAGCTTAAACAAAACATAATTCTAGTTTTATCTCATTTTAAATGAAATCTGATTTTAAGCCACTCAAGGCTAGATGTTGATGTACGATCTCTGAGGATCTAAACTCCTTCCGCTTTGTTGCTGTAGTCTCCCTGTATGATTTCCACCTCATATTCAAAATGACTCAGACTCCAACTACCACATCCAAATGCCAGATAGCAAAGGAAGAAAGGGGACAATTCATTTACATTAGAAACACAACACATATGTTGCCCACAGCACTTCCGCTATGTCTCATTGGCTATAAGTTAGTTGCAACACACACTAAGATGCAAATTAAAGATGGGGGAGATAGTATTTTATCTAGAGAGCAATATTCCAACAATTCTTTTTTTATTTCTAAGAAAATAGGAAAGATAGCTGCTAGAAGGAATTTAAGTTTCTTCCACCTTGTAACCATTTTTTATAAAATGATTAGCACGCTTGTTTCCTTGTCTTCTCGACCTGATTGTAAGCTCCTTAAAGAAAACAAAACTCATTTTCCTTTCCCAGTTTCTACTGCATTCCTTGATAGGAGTAAGATTTAATACATATTTATTAGATAAAGGAGAATTTAGGGCACCTGCATTACACCTAGCACTCAATATATTTAATCTTTAGTTCTTAATTAAAACATGCAACAAATATCAATACAAGTAAACCCAAAAAGGCAGATGGTGGAGAGCTGGATGGAGCACCACCTTGGCTTGCTAGCAGGAGCAGCAACTCTTCAGGAGCCCAGGGGCACCCACACAGGAACCCTCATCTGGTTCCCTTCCAGGATGACATCACCTGCTCACCTCCCTGGCTCCAGTGACCACATCTCAAATGCCAAGCTGCTGCCAAGGTGCTTGCTGCTCACCTCCACTGATGGTACCTCAACTCCACCTCATGGCAATTGAGACACAACATGTCACAGTGGAACAAATCCCAGGATGCCATCAACCCACAGAGCAGCGCTGGCAGGACCCCCGGACCAGGACAGTGAGGATGAAGAGGATCAGAGCTCACCAGCCTGCCACCTTTCCTGACCAAAGCTTAAACCAACGCCCTAGTGAGGGGTCATTGGTCATTACCCCCTGACCTCTGCCCTGCCTTGATGCTTGGATGTTTTCCTGTGTCTTTGCTTGCTTATCGTGCCAGCAAACTGGAGTGTTTCCTGCCTCAACGTGGTGTCAGTCTTTGTCCACTGACTCTGACCATGTCCTGAATGGAAGGGTCCCTTTGGCAACTTCTCAGGAGGGGTACCTGGGCCAATAGCTTGACCAGCATCTTGCTGGTGATCTCAGGGCCCTGATGGGTTTCTGGAATAAGCATGATTCCCCACGCCATGCTGCTGAACTTCTCAAAGGCGAGCCCCATCCTCTTTTAAGTCCTCCTGCCCTACTGTGGGCGATGGAGGGGAAGAGGAGCCATCTCCTGGGGCTATTGTGAGAATTAAATGATACAGGCGGTTGGGTACGGAGGAAGCCAGCAGCAGGTGCTTGTCGTAGATGTCTGGCAAGTCAGCCAGTTCCTGCCCACTCACATGTCTAATTCATTCTCCAGCAGCATCCCAGACAGCCTCCGTCCACACCTGGCACCAGGTAGGGGCTCCACCAAGATGGTGGTCTTTTCCAGAGCACTTCCTCCGGAGGCAGTCTGCCTGTCACAAATTTGGCACTGATTGGCACACACCTCACAGGGCCGGCTTTACCCCCATTTACCATAAGGAAGCTGCAGTTGGAGCGATGGAAGCTCTTTGTCTCGTTGCTGGCAAGAGGGGGGTCGGTTGGACCCTGGGTGCCACTGAAACTGCCCCTCAGCCCCACTGTTGCCCCCCACCCCCACCCCGGGGAGTTTCATGGAGAGGGCTTCCATTGCAAATCACACATTTGACAATGGGACAGCCTGTTTGAAATCTTAGCTACCCAGAGTGGTCTTAGGGGTCTCTGTGGCCCAGATGCATTGTGCTGGCTTCAGGAACTCTTAATAGCGATGTGACCTTAACCAAGTTGCTTAACTTTTCTGAATTTCAGTTTATTTTATGGTCTAAGTGGGTATTAAAACAACAACAACAACAATAATAAAAACAAAAAACCCAAAACTAACGAACCAACCAAGAAAATACCCACGATTATCTACCCCAAAGGATGCTTTTGAAGACCAAATCATATAACTATTCCAAAAGTGCTTTGTAAATTGTGGTAGAAATTGCTAGATAGTTAACGGCCTGAGGTTGTTGGCCCTCAGTGTCTTGGTGTCCAGCCCTATCCTACCCTCCTGCAAGAATAACAACAAGCACCTATTGGGTGCTATGTGTGTGTCCAATAAACTCTAGAATGAATACAAATAGAATGAATTTGGCACACACACACAAAAAAAAATAAACCCAAAAAGAACTTGTTTCCCACATTTTATGTAAAGCAGGAAACAGGCCCAGAATAATTATGAAACTTAAACAAAATTAATTTGTTCTGTAAACCTTCACTCAATTCACACACAAAGATTTTTAAGGGTCAAGATCAGTACTGTAGGGAGGATGGGATAAGGTTTCCCAATAAAGTCTCATAGGACAGCCCTTGCTACCATCAAAAAAATGCATCATTGGGAATGGGAAAATATTCCCAAGGATATAAATCTTTGGGAGAGCAGAAAGTTTTATCTTTCACCTGTGAAGTGACTGGTAGGTTCGAACAGCCAACATTGTGGTTCACAGTCTAGTGCTTATCCTACAGAGCCACCATGCTCCCATGTATTCTATTGTAGTTGTTGTTTTAAAGTGCTGTCGAGTCTATTCCAACCCATAGTAACCCTGTATAGGGTTTCCAAGGAGCAGCTGATGAGCTTGAACCACTGACTTTGCAGTTCAAACAACTTTACAGTCTGAAGCATTAGCCCAAAGCACCACACCAGGACTCTTATCATTCTTCAGGTTGATCCATATGGGATAACCTATTCAAAGGTACCTAATAACAGCAACAAGAATGGTTTTTATGGCTTTAAAATCCTCTTTTTAAATTCTGGATTTCCAGTCCCCTGTAAACTCCAGAAATTTGTGCCCAAACTCTGCCTAGGGTGCCAATGGCTTGCCCTTGTCCCTAACTGACTGTAATCAAAGGCTTGGTGAATGATAGTGGAACTTTTACAACATTCTCTGAAAAATGTTCACCATTAGTTATCCAGTTTGTTATTCTGGTAAAACCTTTCTAAATGCTATTCATTACTACCTGGGTTGGTCAGGAAATGTAGGATCCAATCATGAACAAAACATTCTTTTCCTGAGTCTCATCTATTCCTTGAAAGGATCTGTTTTAGAGAGATAACAAAGAACTCATTATTGATCATGAGAGTATAGGATATATCTTGTCCTTTAAAATGTTTTTAAGAACACTTTTAAAAACTATTTTTTATTGTGAATTGGGTGGCGGTTTACAGAACAAATTAGTTTTGCTGCCGAATATGTGTTATCTGATATGGATCAACCTGAAGAATAAACAATAGCAGAAGTACACATGGGAGTAGTACAAGCACTGGACTGCAAACCACAAAGCCGGCAGTTTGAGCCCACCAGTCACTGCGCATGAAAAAGATGAGGCTTTCTACTTACTCAAAGATTTACAGTCTCAGAAACCTTATACAATATTTCTATGCATTGGAACTGACTTGATGGCACTTAGCAACAACAATATTATACATGGCAGATGCTAGAGCCTCTGCTCTAGATATTGAGGTATACAACCAACCCAAAGACCTTATTTTATAGTCTTCATCTGTGACTAATTCTAGTTGTACAGGAATATATTAAAAATACTTTACTTTCTGTGTTTGAAAGGCAATGCAGCATCTGTGATATGATGTGTAATATATAGTTTAGAATGAAATTTTACAGGGAATTTTATAAGTTTAATTAATAATCTCATAAAAATTTGTTTGTTTAGAGGTTTGCTAAGTTATAATTATTTGGTTATGCATGCCTGGAAACACTTTGTGCTATATTAATGGAAACATAACTGGTGGATTTGGAGGAATCAATTTTTTCTGCAGTTCTTATATGTCTGGTTTATTCTAAGCAAAATGTTTTTAAACATGTCTCTATCTGTGAATGGCTGCAAACAACTTCTCTCTGTAATACATACACTTGTCTTATTCTTGTTAGGATGCCTTCAAAAAAGATCCAATAAGAACAGTTGCTTTTGAGTGGCTCTGTTGGGCCAATTAAATTTAAGGCAATTCAGAAGGTAATGGCAACTATTATTGAGGGGATGCCAAAGAAACTCTCATAGGATGGTCTTTACTATCCTCAAAGAATGAACAGGTGAATGGAAAAATATTCCTGGGTATATCTTTCATGGCCTTTTTCTCATTAATGCAGTTTTCAGTTTTCTGAACGCTTCTTCCTAATAAGTCCCCTTGATCATCCTGCATCTGTTGAGAAAGTTCTGATACATAGCAACTTTATGCACAAAATAAAACACTGCCTGGCCCTGCATTCATCCCACAACCATTGTTATGTTTGAGCTGTTGACACTGTGTCAATCTATCTCCTTGGTGGTCTTCCTCTTTTTCACTGACCCTCCACTTTACCAATCATGATAGTCTTCTCCAGGGTCTGGTCCCTCCTAATAACATGTCCCAAGTATAAGAGATGAAGTCTGGCCATCTTAGCTGCAAAGGAGCATTCTGGCTGTACGTTTTCCAAGACAGATTTGTTTGTTCTTGTTGCAGTCCATGGTACTTGTAATAGTCTTCTCCAACAACATAATTCAAAAGAATTGATTTTTATATGGTCTTAACTAAATTTTAAAAATATGTATTGAATGTCTGCCTACTAAAGGCCAGCAACAATACTAGACACCAGAGCTAATAGATAAATAAGACATATTTCCACCTTCAATGGAGAGCTCTGCAAAATCTATTGACAAATATCACTCTAGGGTATGCATTCCAACAGAGGCGTAAGAACATGAATAAGAACCAAAAGAAGGATGCACTTATAAGTACTAATGTAATAATGATGCCCTGGTGTGGTGCTGTAGGATAAGCACGGAACTCTAACAGCAGGTCAGTGATTCAGACCCTCCAACTATTTCTCAGAAAGGTAGCTATGAGTCAGAACCAACTCTATGGCCTTTAACAACAATAAAAACAATGTAATAATGACAAATAAATGCTGAGTTCTTACTGTGAGTTCTGTATACATTATCTCATTTATTCCTCATGGTAATTCAGAAGTTGTATCTTTCCTTTTGTAAACAATCCATTGCTTTTGGAATGAGCAGAAGAGAGTCACAATTCTGCCTTCAGCCATTGAAAAAGACTTCACCTAGGAAGTAACGTTTGTTGGGGTCATCAAATCTGGTTCCTGGTACACCCCACAGCAGGCATTGATAGAACTTCATAATCAAGTCACTAATAGAAATTACATACTGGGGGATTTCCAATAAAATTGCTAATGGGAAAACTGCCTATGTTAAATGACTAAATATATTGTTCTGGGTCATTAAAAATGTATTATGCATATGCTGAGGTTGAGATTGGCTAAAACAATATGGAAGGATGTTAATCTGATCACTAAACCATGTTCTGTAAATTTGTTCAGTGATGAGCCAAAGTTAAAAGTATCAATCTTGTGTGGGTTTCACCTGGCTCACCTGAGTAACTGGGCCTGTGGGACAATACAGAGTCTCTGCAGATCCTAAAACAGGCCACAGCAGCCTCCAAGACTCTTTACAAATTTTCTTCAGGGAAAATTATGTAAGGGTTAGTATATTAGGAGGGGAAACAAATATGGAAGCGAATGTTATGAAAATAATATATATATTTTGTGTGTGAAATCAAATTTATTACTTTTTCATTTATGGTTTACTGTTTGTGTGAATTGTTCAAAATGCATCCCTATTTTGAAGTCAATAAAGCTTTTACCTCATAGTCTCTTTTTATTAAGTTTAAAAGCTTTCTTTTCACTTGTCAACTTTTAATTCACTTAGAAGAGATTTATTTACAATAGGAGACACAGATTCAATTGTGATATAAATAATTGTCCCAACACCATTGATTGTGCAGCCCATTCCCCCCTTGGTCTATAATGGGCATGTATCAGGATTCTATATATGGGTAGGTGTGCTTCTGGACTTTCTCTTTTTTTTTTTTAGGTAGTCTCTTTCTCTATCCATACATCAATCAAGTTCATCAGAGTTTACAATGAGTCCACCACATTTTTCTGTTTTAGACATTTCATAGAAATTTGTTTGTCTTTTCCTCTATCATATACACTTCATATGCAATCTATCCATTTTAATACATAATAAATTGATATTTTGACAGAATCCTCTTGGGGAAACTGACCATTATCTCTATGAACATTTTATATTTTATTTATT